CACTACCTAAATGTACTTGTTTTACAGGCCAACAACGGGATTGCAGGATGTCAGAGAATCCCACAAGAAACCTTTTGTTTGGAATTTAACGAAATATTTCTTGAAGAGGATCTGAAGCTTTGGCTTTCAAAGACAAATGTGGTAAAAACCTATTTTGAACCCATAGCAGGATGCAGTGTAAACTAATATAACGTATAAGAGGTATTTGATGATGTCTTTATTTTTTTTTTTTTTTTTTTTTTTTTTTTTTTTTTTTTTTTCTTTGTTTGTTTTTTCCAGCCACTTGTCGTTTGTAACTTCCCATTTGTGATGGACCTGAAATCAAAGAAAACGGCTTTTGACATCAATGCTACACGCACTAAGGTAACTGGGACTTTGCCTCTTGGGAACTACAGACAAGTAAGGGTCATTAGAAAATTTCCAATCAATCAACTTTTATCAGTGTATCCTCAATGTTTTAATGTGAAATGCTGGGTGTCTTATCACGTTAACAAAATACTTATATATACGTATATTAGCAATTAACTAATAACAACATGTAATGCCAAGTTTGCCATATCAGCTTTATGAGTTTATTGTATGTCAGTGTTGTCCAATGCGGCCACATGACATAATGTAATTAAGATTTCAAAAATGATTTTAAAAAATACAGTTTGAATTGTATTACAGCAAGCACACCAGACAGCCCAACAGCCGGAATACATGTGGTTTTTAGGATGGGTTCAGTCAGAACCCAACTTTTTTGAACTGAAGCTGAAGCGAGCGGCACTTTTTGAAGGCGCTGCCATACAACTGGCCACTGCTCAACCCAGTGCCTTCAAGAAGCCACTTGTGGTAAATATCTAGTTTTAAACTGGTGGTTAAAGCATAGCAAAATTATTTTGTTCTCACTCTCATCTATGCAACAGGAAGAATTATACCTTTTTGTCTCTCAGGTCTACTTGGATGAGGACTCAAAGCTCACGGATGTCTACAAAAGGGACTTTTTTCACCACTTGTTTAAGGACATGGTGTCAGCTAAATCTGAGATGTTCTTGTTTGATGACTCCAAAACCCTGGCATGGTTCTCCTCCAAAGTAAGACTGCATATCCTCATACAGGAAAAAAAATTTAAACTGTAGACTCTTCACTGTATTTCTTGATTTCTTGCTAATGATTATAAGCAACAATGGAACAATTTGCAGTTTTAGTTTTGCAGTTGAGGAATCACATATCTTATGTACATTCAAACAATTTCCAGAGATTTTCATTCTTTCTACTTTTATCAATTCAGGAAACAGAGGAGAACAAGAACAACTTCTTCCTGTTTGGGTTTCTGTGTGGATTGGCCTTGTACAACCAGAGTATCATGTACTTACCATTCCCACTGGCTTTGTTCAAGAAGCTGCTCGGTGTAGAGCCAACACTGGAGGATATGAAAGAATTCAGCAGTGATGGAAAGTCAGTACTGATCTAAATTTTGGAATACAAAATTATAGTTTTACATTGTGATGCCTGAAAGTTCACAGATTGTAAAATACTGTACAGTAAGCAAGTTAACTTAATATTAACTAAAATCTTTGTTTTTCAAGGCTTCTGCAGGACATCTTGGACTATGAAGATGATGTTTTAGAAAACCTCTGCCTGTCTTTTTTGGTTGGTGTTTCACTCCACCCATGATCTGCCTCATTTATCTTTATTACGTTGTTGCAGTGACATCACTTACCTCTTCTCTGTCATAATTAATTAACAGATTAACTGGGATGGGGCAGAGGTCGACCTTGATCCTCAAAATCCGGGAAAGCCAGTGACAAGTCAAAATAAGTAAGACTGTAAAACTATTTAATCCTAAATTGTACATGTGGCCTGCGTCCAGGTCAGCTCTCTCTCAGAGAAATGTCTGTTGAATTGAAACTGTAATCTGATAAACAGGAAGGAGTTTGTGGACGCCTACGTGAATCATGTCTTCAACACATCAGTGGAGGGTGTGTTTCAGGAGTTCAAGCGAGGCTTCTTCCAGGTGTGTGACCAGGATGTGGTGAAGCTGTTTCAGCCAGAGGAGCTGCAGGGAGTGCTGGTGGGCACGGCCGACTATGACTGGGCCAAGCTGAAACAGGTACAGTTTTCTCTGAAACTGATTAAACACATCCTCACATGATTGATTAGTCTAACATTTTAATTGTGTCTTTT